TTTTTAATTAACATTAATATATATATATATATATTAATCACGAAATTAAATAATATATATTTTATAAAAGTATTTAAAATTCTTGGTAAAATCATGTTAGATATTTTCTCAACAGATTTAGTTATAAATAAAATTAAAATATAAATTTATATTCAAATTGATTTATTACTAATATCTTATCTTCTATATTAAATAAAAATAAAATATTTTTCCAGTAATATATAGTTGATTGATTAATATAAATAATCAAATATGTCCTATTAATGAAATGGTCCAAAATGACTTTTGTGTAGTAGATATAAATGGTACTTCTCTTTTAATATAGAAGATTTGTGACGGTCTCTAGACAAAGTTTATGAAAGATTAATTATATAATTAAAGATTTCTGCTAAGTCGATGGAATGGTTGTTTCATTGACCAAAAGGAAGTGAGGATTTCAATTTAGAAAACATAATAGTCTAACTAGAATTTAGAAAGTATATCTATAAAACTTATTAAATAAATACATGAATTAAAAACACTAAATACGTGAATAATCGTAAAAATGAAAATTTGAAAATATGGATCTGTAAAAGATCGATAAGTGATATCACACGTTGAAATTTAACGACAAGTAAAAACAGTAAACTGTAATATAACAATTTCATGATAACTCATGCTGATTATATTAACGATCAGAAAATTAAATTTGTGTAATTAGTTTAAGGTATAACTAGATTTTAACCCATCTTTCAAAGGGCAGGTATATTTTTGTTTTAATTTTTTTGAGAAATTTAATGTTTTAATTTTTTTTAAAAATTATATCTATATTTAATCAATTATGAATAATAGTAGAAATTTAGTGTTATTGATATAAAAAATAATTGGATAATAAATAGTTGGACCAATATTTATCAATTAGTCATAATCATGTTTTTATAGATACAGTTAATATATAGACTAATAAAATTCTAAGTATATTGTTTATTTGTATAGTTTATGACAGATAATTTTCTTTCCAATAAAAGATTAAAATCATAATCAAAATAGTTTTTCCTTTTAAATAACATTATATTGGCCTTAACATGGTATTGTCCTTAACACCAGAAAACATAATTATTGATCACACGTTCAAATGTATTATACAGCTATCTATCGTAATTTGTATACAAATGGGATTAATTGTAAGATAAAAAGATGAGAGTGATGGGTTCCGGAAATCTAGGACTAAAGAGAGGTTATAACATACATTAATACTCGTACTGTATAAGAATATGGAACAAAGTTTTCTCTCTCTCTAACTAAAGACGCTCTCTCCTCTTTCTTCCCGAAGGGTTTCGCGGCAGTGTTCATCACCTCCGGCGATCGCCGCCGTGCTCCTATGGCGACCACCGGGTCTTACGTTTTCTTTCTCCCTTTCGTCTGAGTCTCTTCGTCTCTTTCTCGTCGTCGTTTCTCCCTTCGTCTTCTGCGGCTGTCTTACGCGCGGCGATGGTCCAGATCTGGTAAAGATCTAGAGTCTCCTTGCTTCAGGTTCAGATATAGGGGATGTCAGCACTTGAGGATGGTGTTTTTCTCCTCCATGGCTCTGTGGCTTTGTCTTAAGGTGAGACTCTGACCGGATAAGGGTTTTTGTTTTCCTCGTCGCGTATTGGCTAGAGTGGTGGAGCGTGGTGGTGCAGAGTAGCTGGTCTGTGGTTGGTGTGATCCGTCATCATGGCAGTTGTTTTTCTCGGCGTGGCTCCATTTAGGGTTTCAGATTGCGCGGATCTTGAGATCTATCTCTCCTCTTCTTCGGGTGGTCTCAGGTTGACGCGTGTGGGCTTTCCGTGAGTCGGTCTCCCCGTCTCTGGTGAGTTCCAGTGGCAACGCTGTAGATCATGGCGGAGGCTCGTGGTGGTGGCAGCATGCGTGTCTCAGGCGGGTTCCTTATACTCACTGTTCTTCTTCAGAAAAACTTCCGGTGATTCCGGTGTGGTCTTCGCCATGTCCTGAGTGCTCATCGTCTCCACCTCTCTTCAATAAGGTAATGCGGCTCTTGGTTTAAGCATGTGCGGTGGTTGGAATTTGCTCTTTTTGCTGTGCGGTAGTTGGTCTAGTGGACTATTCATTTTCTGCGGTTGTGCTTCCAGAGGGTTAACCACCTTTTGGTCCGCTATCTCTATATGGGGTTTCGGTTCAACGGTTGTAAACGGTCACGACGGTTAGGACTGGAGGCGGCAATCTCCAGAACTCCTTGACGAACGACGGTATCGCCGCTAGGTGGTTCTCTCTCATGCCGTCAGAGGTATAGTTGTAGGGTGGATTGGGTTTGTTTGTGCTAGGATGCTTCGTACTGGTCTAGTCTTGGCATAGTGGTCGGAAGTTGTAGGAGCCATTGTTTCAAGGTTTGAGTGCGCCTTTCTCTCCGGTAGCTCGCGGTGCTTGATTCTCGTTTGAGATGTGCTCGGTTTCTTTGGTCCAAGCTTGACTCGCTACTAATCAAGCTTTACGGATCTGCTCTGCTACTTTATGGGTTTGTTTCAATCCGACTAGGTCTGTTTAGTTTCTTTATTCTCTTTCCGCTACTAGTTTTTCTTTGTAAATTCTATCTCAAATTCGAAAATTGGTAATAATAATTTAACGTTTTTCTAAAAAAAAATATAAGAGTATGTAGAAATAGTTAATTTATTTAAAGATGGTACAGTGGTACAAAAGTAATATTTCAGGGTATATCAAGGGTAAATAATAGCAATGATCATGTTTTAATAATATTAATAAAAGTGAAGCTGTCGTATAAATTACAGGGGGCCAACTTACATGATGATTAATTTATTTTTATTTTCTTAATTCAAATATATTAATTCTATCTGATAAACGAAAGTAAGGATGATGTCAGAAAAAAAAATGGGAGTAAGGATCTGATTACAAGTTCGACTTAAAAAAATATACCCAATTCTAAGAGCATCCGCAACGGAAGTTATTAGGGGGATTTCTTAAGGGAAACATAATTAAATAATTGGTAGACCTCATAAAAAGTTAAGGATTTTATCCTTAAAATTTTTAAATAAAGATTGTTTCTTAGTGAATTTTTACACTTTTTGCGGGTCCTCAGGACATGTGACAGCCTGCGAATGGAAAATTTTTTTTTTTTTTAAAAGAAATCCGAAATATCCTTACCAAATCTAAAATACTCTTTTTATTAAGGACTCCTATGAGTCTCACGGTTGCGGATGATCTAATTATTTCCAGTTTAGCTTCGTTCGACTCATAAATCCAGGTCCAATTTAATATCCTTAAGCATTGATCTCCGTTCTCTACCTATACCTATGACGATGCCCACGAGAAGAAGGTATTCACCTCATTTCTTCTAATTTCTCTTTTTACTAAAAGATTTCAATTAAAAAAAAAACTAAATTTTTAATTAAAAAAACTATCCAACCTCTCTTTTATTACTAAAAGATTTCAATTAAAAAAACTAAATGTTTTGGATAGAGCAAAAGAGCCTTATATAGTACGTAGGATAAAGCTTGCATAAAACATTCTTTATGGAAAATTAAATATCAACCTATGAATCAACTCATGCAATGACAAGAAGTACAAACAATGCAAGGCAAACCGTAGCTAGAAAGAATCAACCTATCTACTATCTCGTTTCAACATTGGAATAATATTTATCATTTTTAGGAACAAATTATACTATATAATTTTTTTATAGGAACAGAGATTGGCCAAGATGTGCTTTGAAACACCGAGGCATATATTACAAAGAAGTTAATGCAAACCGTACTAGAATCAACCTATCTTATCCCTCGTTTCAACATTAGAATAATATTTATCATTTTTAGGAACAAAATTATATTACATGAAATTAGGGCTGAGCATTTTATCTATTATATTTGATTCGATTCATTTTTTGTTTCGATTCGATCCGAAAATTCCGGATATCAGTAAACTTTCGAATCAAAGTAAATAATAAAATTCAATATCCGTTAAAATCAAAGCAAATCACAAATATTAAAATTTTTGGAAGCGGATATCCGATCCGATCCAGAAATATATATATATATATATATCTTGATTATATTTAAAAATTTAAATGTATAAAATTATATAATTATTATTCTAGCACATGATTTTGAACAATTATATTCACATTATTACTTATATAAAAGTATTACATAAAAGAGAGAAAATATTTATGACAATTATATATTTTTTTCTTAAATTTTGTGTTATTATAATTGTAACTTAAACATAAAAAATTACAAAATATGTAAATTCACTAGTTCTTTTAATTTTTATTTTATACATCATGCAAAAAGATATTTTTGCAAACCAAATTTGTATTAAAATCTTAAGATTATTTCTATTAATCAAAATGGATGAGATATCCGTAAATATTTGTAAATATCTGCAAATATCTATTTATCTTCCGGATATGCGTTTTTCCGGATATCCGTATTTTTTTTCAAAGCAAAAGCAAATACGGAAATTAGATATCTATAACATTTGAAGCAAATCACAAATATCTTAAAAAAAACCCAGATATCCGATCTATGTCCACCCCTACATAAAATGTTTTATAGGAACAGAGATTGGCCAGATTCTGCTTTGAAACACCGAGGTACAAAAGAATTTATTACTACGAACCTTCTGAAACATTAACGTCACAAAACAAAACATAGTAAACGTTGACGTTGAAAAAAACAATACAGTGAATCATAAACATTTTCATTCTTCTTTCACTTCCAATTTCTATAAATAGGTGCCCGGATCACATGATTGATCCCATCGACAAAAATCTTCAATATTGGTATATTTTCTTGTTTCAACATTTCTTTTAGCCATGTTCATTAGCTGAACATGACATTAATCAGATACAACGCCAAAATCTAGTAAAATTAGCTAGTATCACAACGTATTATATATAATATATGCATGTATGTGTATGTGCAGATTTAAAGGTCTGGCTTCTGCAAATTAAAAAGATCAACTTTAAGTGAAATCATTCTCTTGAGAAAGGTCTTTTGTTGTAAACAATGACGCAGTAAGTGAATTCTTTGAGAGAAGAGCTATATGTATTATAATGTTTTGGTATATATGTGTGTTTACGTTTGTAATGTATGAGCATGCAGCTTTTAAAAAAATTATGAGTTTGTTTTTATTCAAATTTTTAACAGAGGAAAAAGGAGTTATGACAAAAAGAAATCATTCGGACGAGCTGATTTTCCTCAAGGTTTCTTGTTTGGAACTGCTTCATCGGCTTACCAAGTAAGTACACTATACAGATACGACCATGACAATCAGCGAAATATTTGTACGACCCCCCTCATGTTACATATATACCCCGTGCAATAGTTAATGAAATAAATAATCTTGGACATATAAATAAATTGGAGGTAAGAAATATAATCTTGTATATATGAAATTAAGATTTTAATATATATATATATATATATATATATATATGTAATATTATGTAAATACATATTTTGACAAAGGATAACCAAATGTTTTATGTAAATATATATTCAAAATTATAAATAAAAATTTAAATTGATTCCGGGGAAAATGCAATATTTGCATACTTATTTAGAAACATATGTGTATGGTCCACAATGATCGACTCAACTTGTTTTTTTTTTACAATTAGTATGAAGGAGCTGTGAAAGAAGGTTCCCGAGGAGAAAGTATGTGGGATGCTTTTGCTCGCAAGTATCCAGGTTTTGTATATATCATTCATATCTCTTAAATTGATGAGTGATGCGTCAATCTCGATCAGTTTGTTAAAAACCATTTGAAAAATGTTTTTCTTTTCTTTTAGAAAGAAATTGTCACTCTAACGCGGACGAGACAGTCGATTTTTATCATCGTTACAAGGTCGGTATACATACATTGGTACATATTCAGTGGCCATCGATAATTTTCATGTGCTTAAGTCTTACACTAATCTAATTAAGAAAAACATGACTTATGTAACTACAGGAGGATATTCAAAGAATGAAGGATATTAACATGGATTCTTTCAGATTCTCCATCTCCTGGGTCCGAATATTACCTCGTAAGCTAAAAACACAAATTGCTTGTAATTTCTTCATCAATTTCTAATGGTCAATGCAAAACATCATCACATATGTATATCTCTAAAATAATTCTCATATTTTAAATTATAAAGATGGCAAACTAAGCAAGGGAGTGAACAAGGAAGGAATTAGATTCTACAATGAGCTCATTGATGAACTACTAGCCAATGGTATAAATACATACTAATATTTCACTCTTATACCATTAGTTGAATCATAAAAATAGTAAATCATATCCAGCTCTTATGTCATCTTAAAACATCAATAGGAATCACACCTCTTGCGACTTTGTTTCATTGGGATACTCCTCAAGCTCTAGAAGAAGAATATGGCGGGTTTCTTAGTGAAAATATTTCGTAAGCTTAACTTTTAAAAAACTCCTTAACATTGCTTCAAAGTTCAAACTAATTTTTTTTTTAATGAAATATAAATATATATGGATGTTTATATTATGCAGAGTGGATTTTCGAGATTTTGCTACCATATGCTTTGAGGAATTTGGAGACCGAGTGAAACTATGGTTGACGATAAACGAACCATGGGTCTATAGCGTAGGTGGCTATGATGCCGGAAGAAAAGCACCAGGGCGTGCCTCAAAATACATGAATGATGCCGCCACAGCTGGAAAATCTGGTCACGAGGCTTATATCGTTAGTCACAATCTTCTTCTTGCTCATGCAGAAGCCGTTGAAGCCTTCAGGAATTGCCATAATGTAAGAACCACTAGTCTTAACAAAAAATGGATCAAACCTTTAATTCACACGATCAAAATGTTATTCACACGGTCAAAATGTTATATAATATACAACAGAGTTAGTACTTCTTCTTTTTTTTTGAATAAATGTTAACTAATGTACACTCCTCCTGTCCAGTGTAAAGATGGTAAGATCGGTATGGCGCATTGTCCTTTATGGTACGAGCCATATGATGTAACTTGTGACGAAGATAAAGAAGCAGCCGAGCGAGCTATGGAGTTTATGTTTGGATGGTATGATCCAGTTTTCATAATCATTACTATTGATTATATATACATAAATTTATCAAATTTCAGTGAGTAATTTTATGAAGAAAGGCTACATAATATACACGTGGATTACTAATACTTTCTCCCCTATTAATTAATTACAGGCACATGAATCCTACGGTTTATGGAGATTATCCTGAAGTGATGAAGAAAATAGTAGGAAAGAGATTACCATCTTTTACCGAAAGCCAATCAAGAAAGTTAAAAGGATCTTTTGACTTTATTGGAATTAACTATTACAGCTCTGTTTACGCTAAAAACGTTGATGAAGTGGATCCCGAGAAGCCGTTCTGGAGATCAGACCAACATGTTGAGTGGAGAAGTATGTAGTAGAATTAGCAAAGATAATTACAATCAGTGTTCTAAAAATTATTCTTATTACTCTAAACACTAAATGCGCTTATAAAACTGTCTACCGTCTACGATTTTTTTTGAACAATGATTACGACAATATCATTTAGTCTTTTTTTTTTCTTTACTCACAAGGTTTTCTTTGTTTGTAGAACAAAATAAGGCGGGCAAGGCCATCGGTGCACAGGTTAGTTTTTAAATAATTATGTACTTTTAATACATACTAATATTTTATTGTTACGCTTTTAGGGTGGAGTGGAGTGGAACTTGATGTATCCACAAGGACTACGAAAAGTTTTGAATTACGCCAAGAATAAATATGGAAACCCAAAATTTATAATCACAGAAAATGGTACTAATATATATAACTCGATCTGATACGCTTCAACTTGGTCCCCAGTATCTAAATTACAAAACTAAATACTAAAAATAACTGCTGAATCGGTTTGATCAGGACATTGTGATGCATACGAAGAGAAGAAGCCAAAACTCTATGAGTTAATGGATATGAAGAGGACTGAGTATCACAAGAAACATATTAGCAACGTTCACCAAGCCATATAGTAAGCTTAATTCTTATTTTTTTCACAAAAGAAAAGGTTTATTAATTGATTCAAGCAAGGTTTTACGGATCTAGACTGAAAGATATGAAATGTTTTGTAGCGAGGATGGAGTCCAAGTAGATGGATATTTTGCGTGGTCATTGTTGGATAATTGCGAATGGAACTGCGGATATGAAATACGGTATGGATTGTTCTACGTAGACTACGAGAATGGGCTTAAGCGTTATCCGAAAATGTCAGCAATGTGGTTCAAGGAGTTCCTGAAGGAAAAAGATGGGGATAAGGTGAAGAAATCACAATTGAAAAGGGTTAAGATATCAGAATTCTGAAGTTTAACAAGTGTAATGTAATAAGGTTGAAATGGCCATTTGCTTACTACATACTATTTTCCTTATAGTTTTGTATCACAGGAGAGGAGTTTTTCTCCTCTCCAAAATATCTATTTTCTTATGATTCGAAATAAAACAAATTTCAAAAAAATTCCATCCATAGTATCTAATAAAAAATTTTCAAAAAGAGAAAACTAGATAAAAATAACTGTGTAAAAATATGATACAAAAGTAAAAAAACCAATGAAGGAAAAAAAGATCATTGGGCTTGTAATTTACACACTATATGGGCCTTACACTGCTGTCCTTTTTTAATGTAGCCTAGGGTTTCTTTTTGGCTAAAACGACGTCGTTAGTTTATTCCTCTACTTTCGACATCAAAGTCGAACCAGGTTTCAGGTTTTCCAGAGACAGAGGGCTTTCTATAGGTCGTGTTCGTGTTTGATCAGAAGGTCGAAACTTGAAGGGGATTTTAGCTTCCGGTCACTGCTATATCAGAAAGTTTTTCCAGGTCGGTCTCTCTCTTTCTCTTTCGGGTTGTTTCCAAAATTTTAAAGTTCGTTGAACTCTGTTCATCGAGAGCAGGTCTTATTTGAATCAGTTATTCTGAAATTTTGTTAGCTATGATTTTTGAATAGATGCCTCGGAGACCATCAGGAGGAGGAAGAAGGTTCTTAAAGCATCAACCTTTAGCCTTTTCACCGTTTATGCGGTCACTTGCTTTAGCTTCAAGGCGTAAACTGCATCATCAAGAAAACTCTCAGCCTTCTGAAGAGTTGATGTCTTTTGGTGAGTAGTAGTAATCTTTAAACCTGAAGAGTTTCTACTCAGATACATTGTAATGACAAATCTTTCTGATTTTTTTTTTTGTAGAGGAAAGGGTCCCAACTTCGTCTAAAAAGGAGAAAAAGGAACAGCTTTCAGACTCCTCTGATGAAGAAGACTCTCAGGTAAGCTATTGTTTAGGCCAATGTTCAAGAAACCGATAAGTAGTTTTTCGGTTTGGTTATAAAATTATTTTGATCAATCATCAAAATTAGATATAGAAAAGAAAAGAAATTAGACAAATTTGTGGATTTATACTAACATTATTACTTAATTTAACAGATTTAGATGAATTTATACTGATGTTAACAACATTTTAAACTCATTTGAGCCTATAAATTGGATTTTAAGAAAATCGTTTCAGCTAAAACTAAATTACCACTTAGGAGGAACCGGTTTTTAGAACAATGGTTCAGACTCCTCTGTTGTTGGAAGGCTCTCTTACTTATCTTTCTTGATCTTTTTGAAGGGAGATGTGCAAGCAGACTTTGAGTTCTTTGATCCTAAGCCTACAGACTTCAACGGGGTCAAGATCCTCCTTAAAAACTATCTTGATGACAAGGAGTGGGACTTGAGCAGTTTTGTTGATTTAATTTTGGAACAGACAACAGTGGGAACTGTTGTGAAAGTGGCAGATGATGAGGATGAGTCTGTGTTTGCTGTTGTCTCTGCTCTTAACTTGGCAAGATACAAGGAACATAAATGCTTCAGAGAGCTTAAAGAGTTTCTTCTTCAAGTTTGTTCAGAGAAGAGTATAGCTAGTGATCTTAAAGTGCTGTTAGAGAAAAAGGCACAGGATGTTGGTATCTTGGTGTCTCAAAGAGTGATGAATTTGCCGCCACAGCTTCTTCCTCCACTGTATGATGGGTTGTTTGATGAAATATCATGGGCCACTGAAGACGAGGTTTGGATCTTTTAAGATAAACTCTTTGATATCTTATTATGAGAAGTGGAAGTTTAACTGTTTAAAGTTTCTATAGCCTACAGAGGAGCTTCGTGTCTCGTTCCGCTTCAAGTGGTATCTACTTGTCACCAAGATATACAAGGTGAGTTTGTATTAGCTGTAAGAAGTTGTATTGTTCTCTCAATGTGATGTTTTGATTCTTGGTTGTATAGCTGAAGAATCCTAAGCAGAGGAAGCCGCGTCGTGGTGAAGAAGAGGATGAGGAAACAGTATTCCTTAAGCCAGAAGATGAACTCTTTCTCCAGGTAACTTCTTTTCTCTCACAGTACCTTCTCGAGTTTCCATGAACATTTTGTTGAAAAGATTTGCATTTTGCAGCTGAGTTCTTGGTCTTTTACATACCCTATGCGCTCACAGCTGGTGACTTCTCAAGAAGTAAGTTTCTCTCTTCAGACTATACACATGGTTTTTTAATGCAACTGTTTCTGAAGATCTTTAATGATTTGGTAATGGTTGTTGCAGATGAAGAATTATCAGCTGATGGGTCTAGTGATGGCTGTGGAAGCAAAAAGGATTCCTGAGTTCAGACAGATGTTGAATTCTCTCATTTATTGAATGAACAATGATGAACATCTTCTTAAGAGATCCTTACTTTGGTCGTTTGTTGTCTATTACTGCCAGTTTTGATGAGATTATTCCGGTGGTTTTCCAGCATAATTCCAATGTTTTGTTGTTTTATCCAGCAATCTTCTACATGTACTGGGAACTCTAGTTTCGTGCGTCGGAAACAGTGTCTTGGGAAACTCTCTAATCATGTTTTATAGCATCTCTAATCCACTTCTATAACTTTTTTTTGATAAAAAAGAAGTAGAATGAGTTTCTTTTCACTGAAATTTCCATTGAACATTGAAGAGATACAGAGTTGGATTACATATTTGAAAAACACAAACCGGCAGTACAAAGATATGACTTAGTACAATATATCTTTTATATGTATTAGAAAAGCATTACTAAAATGAAATCTTACTAACTTTTTGTTTGTTTTTAAAGAAGAAATGTTACCAATAATTGATAATTCGACACCTAGCAATACACTTGTCATAACCTCTCTATAAAATTGCATGGTGTAATATCAATAACTAATTTTTGATCCGTACGTCCACGCAGATTTTTGTTCTTGATAATTATATGATTTTAACCTTTGAAAATGACATAAGTTAAATTGTTATACTTATTAAATTATAGATTCGTATGTTATTCAGATTTGATATTGGTGTGTCTTGTTCAAAGTGATTGACCTTTATTTATAAATTATGAGAATGTATTTTTTTCTTGTGCTTTTATTTAATATATTTGGTAAAGTGAACAGTAAAATATTAGAGATAAGGGTGAGCACTTTGGTTATTTTTTCGGTTTGGTTTGAGTTCGGTTCGGTTTAGTTAATTCGGTTTTAGAATTTTCCTACTGAACTAAACCATGATTAATTTGGTTTGAATCAGTTTGGTTTATATTCGGTTCGGTTTAATTGTGCACCCTTAGTTTAGTTCGTTTAAGAAAAAATATATTTTAAAACTTAAACGTATGTCCATAAACGTACGTCCATGAAATCATCAGGCAATAAATAATAAATTATTAAATTCTTAAATTATAGATTTGTATGTTATTCAGATTTGACATTGGTGTATCTTGTTCAATGTGATTGACTTTTATTTATAAATAATGAGAATGTATTTTTTTTCTTGTGCTTTTATTTAATCTATTTGGTAAAGTGAACAGTAAAGTATTAGAGGTAAAAGTGAGAACTTCGGTTATTTTCTCAGTTTTGTTTGGGTTCGGTTCGGTTTAGTTAATTCGGTTTTAGAGTTTTTCCAACTGAAGTAAACCATGATTAGTTTGGTTTGAATCGATTTCGGTTTGGTTTATATTCGGTTCGGTTTAATTGTTTACCCTTAGTTTAGTTCGTTTAAGAAAACATATTTTAAAACTTAAGCGTATGTCCATAAACATATGTCCCTGAAATCATCACGTGATGGCAATAAATAATAAATTATGTAAATTAAATCTAATATAAAATTGAATAAAAACTTTTAAAACCCACAAGAAATTAATAAGAACACATTTAAATCAAAATTCACTAAAATAATTTTTTTTTAAATTACAAACATCATAACTAATGTCTATTCTACTAATAAAAAGGTCTACAATTAATCATCTTCCATGTGAAATTGTAAATGTTATACGTAATGTATACGAGTATTTATTTATATCTTCACTCAAATTCCATATTCAAAACCTATACCCATGATTCCATTATTATAAACCTAATATATTAGTTCTATTAAATAAAATTGAAAACAGAATATGAATTTATTTTTAAAACTTTAGTATATGTATATTGCTAATATGTTTAATTAAAATAATAACAAAACATTAATTTATCGGTTCGGTTTGGTTTTAATTTGATTTGGTTTCAGTTTGGTTTGTTTGGTTTGGAAATATCTTAAACCAAACTATTTGATAATGACTTTGGTTTGATTTGGATCGATTTCGGTTCGGTTTGATTTGGTTCGGTTCGGTTTTTTGGAACATCCCTAATTAGAGGTCTAAGTATACTTATGGCTTTTATTAAATTAAATTATAAATATTTTATTTTAAATTTGAATATAATGTTTAATTTTTTATTAAGAATTAAAAAAAAACAAATACATTATTTCCACAAACAAAAAAATAATGAAACCAAGTTAACAAAAAGACATTTAAAAAATTAAAAAGGCACAACGTATCATCAGTTATCTTAGTAAAAATAAAAACAAAAATGTAACATCAGTTTATCCAGATTGATTTTTACTTGTGGCACAAACATTGAATAAATTATTGTTAACTGCTTTTAGTCTGATGCAATATTTCATATTGGGTAAGTGGGAATATTTCTTGGCATAATGTAGTACGAAAAAATAGGGTAGATGGTTTCAACATTCAACTAAAGTGTTTTGATCATAGCATATGATAATAATTATTGAGGAAAATATAGGGTAATTATTTATTTGTACTTCAGTTTTAATATTGTAGATGGTTTCAACATTCAACATCCTCCACATCATCTCATCTTTCTTCTACATCATTTTTCTCTCTTCTGTATAATAATTCAACACCAATTCACTTTTTAACTCTTAGACTTTGATTGGTAACATATGGTACGATTGATTAAAATATTATCAATCATGAATTATTTTTGAATTTTATGAAAGTTTGAGTTAAAATGTATTATTGTTGAGTTACTAGTTTGAGTGATACCCTTTATAAAAATAATAAATTAAATCTTAAATTAACATCAACAATAATCTCATATATTAAGACTTGAGTTAAATAAATTTTGGTTTATGGTTAACTACCCCATGTCCTTTTCTAGTTTGTTAGCAAATTAAAAAATATAATATATGATCATAAGTTGTACTTATACATTTCCTTGTTATTAATTTTAATACAATATTTTAATAAAGTACCTACTTGATGGCCATAGATTTTCTAAGAAAATATTTTTACTCTACTTATTTTTTTTTAAAAAGAAGTTAGTTAATCTGAATTGTTTTTATATTTAACTATTAATTTTGTTGATAATTAAAAAGTTATATCGTATAATTTTTTTAGTTTCAGTTATTAATTTTTTTCTTAATTAAAAGGCTATGTACATAAACTATTGTAGATATATATATATATATATATATTTTAAACATAATACATACTACAGTTTATACATCAAAAAGGTTACCAATAAATTATGCTGACAAAATAGTAATTCAAATCTTCACCTTAAACTTACCACATAAATCTACAATATTTACCACATCATTTTATCGCAAATTATATTGAAATATAACTTCTATTGTAATTCAACTCTAATACTACATGTCACCAGTCGAAGCCTATATACAATAGTTTCAATATACAACACCCTCCACATCATCTTCTTTTTCTTCCACATTAGTTTCTCTCCCTTCCATTTAATAATTCAACACCCACTCATTCTTTTTACCGTATAATGGTTTTTTTAATAAAATTCAACACCCTATCCTACAATTGTTTATTTTCATATTTTTATTTTGTTCTATATCTTTTATTTTGTAATTACATATTATTAATATTAATTAGTTTAAATTAAATTACAATACTTAAGGGCTATATAAATGGATAGTTGTTGAGATTTGAATAGTTGAAAAGGTAGTTTGAAGAGTTTTGGGTATTATTAGAAGAGTTTTTGTTGGAATCCATTTTTTTTTAATGAAGATAGAAAAATATAGAAACAAGAGTTATGAGAGTCTTTTAAACTTAAGCAGTTGTTTAAACTTTAGCGTGGATCTGATGCAGGAAAATAGAATGTCAGTCTTTTAAACTTAAGCAATTGTTTAAACTTCATAAAAAAAACTTATTTATAATTTAACTTCATATACAGTTGTCATAACATAAAAACATCAATATTGACCAATAACCAAAAATATATATTAAATTAAGTATTTAAATTAATTATTAACGTAATAGATAATTATTAGGTACTTAATAATAAATTAGTATATTTTGGATAGATATTAAGGACTGAGATCGATTTGATATAATTTTCTTTTTAGGATTTAAATTTTTTTTTTTTGGGGAGGGGGGGGGGGGTTTAGGATATCTATTTGAGTTCGGGTTCAATTCGGTAAAATCTATAAACCAAAATACCATAGAACATAATCCATTCGGTAAGTATATTGGATTCAGATTGATTCGGATTTACATTTATCGAATCTGGTTCTGTTCGAATTTTTTTGTTTCAGTTTATTTGTCCAGCTCAACTTAATACTTGTCATAAAACAACCAATAAAAGATATTAATGTCGTGCTGTTAGTCGAGACAATTAGTTACCTTAAGCCATACTCCAAAGATATTACGTGTACATAAAAAAACATGCAATAAATGATAAAAAGTTATCTAATGATACAAACATGTTAAGGCATCCAATAAAGGAGAAGACGATAAACAAGAAACTCTCATTTGCGAGTGTCCAAAAAAGGGTAACTCTCATACCTAAAGTTACAACTTGCACTCACAACTCTTCCTCCTTCTTTACCATCACAACAATTAGGAAGCTCGCCAATAATCCTATTCAAACATTTCTTACAACCTGTCTCCTTTATGTCTCGCGTGCATTGCACCATTCCATACAGCTTCATCTTCCCGTCTAGTTTCATATCCCCTGTCTCGTACAACCAGTACACTTCCATATCCCTGTCTGGACCACCGCGAGTGGCTTTCTTTGTCAGTTCGGTGAGAAGAGTCTTTGTTTTAGAGTTAAACGACACCGGATCTCTCACTTTATTCTTGTTGTACATATAGAACTTGTTATTGAGATCCATCTCGTTCAAGAAAGTGGTCGGAGAAATCTTGAGAAGACATCGGTCAAACCATACTATTGCCCCCTTTTTCATCGGACATCTTTTACGTAGCTGTCATATATACACACATATACATAACCAAACCACAGTCAAAAGACAAATTAATATTGCACCGAAGGAGTAATTCACGTATATACAAACATATACAGTATAACCTTTATAATTTATACTTAATAAGTTAATATTGGTGCACACATGACATTTTCATTGATAGTTCGTATCTTCATAAATTTATACGTAATATGAAAACTGAAAATTTTGAAAAAAAAAGTAAGAGAATGAAAATTGGTGAAGAGAGTTTCTCACGTGAGATACCTAAGAAAATTTTGTGAAGAATTCCTTCACGCTTGTCAAGTGGTGACAAATTTTACATTTTTATTTAAAAATTTAGTTAAACAGATGAATTTTGATAAAATTTAATTTTATATTTTGGTTAGATACTCTTTTGGGTATCTTACCATTGAAAACATGCTCTCTTTTTTTTTTTTATCACAAACTTAATACAATAAAAGAGGAAAATTTCCATTGAGGATGCTCAATATGTCTTCTATATGATCTCAATCAAATTATCTCAGTGGTAGTGTATGAACATTATCGTATATAGTTTTTTTTTTTTGAAAAACATCATCTTATTAAAATGTGAAAAATTAGTTTGATAAAAAATAATACAATATCTGAACTTTTTTGTTTAGCAATATTCTTCACTAAAATAAACACAAAACCCAAATCGATAAAAGTTATGTTTACCTCGGAGTAGGCAGTGGAGCGGCATGTATCACACTTGGAGCCATAAGAGTCACCACGGCACTGGATAAGAATGTAGACGGTATTAGGACGACCACCCTCCATGCCATAGATGTAATCTTTAACAGAAGCATTTTTCCAAACGTTGGAGATGAGAAAGTCGAGGTTTTTCTCGTACAGACTATTTGGCTTATATTTTCCATCCTTCTCGAAGCATTTGTGGTATAGATACGCATTGGTTTCGTTTATAGACGTAACACTGCGTATAAAGAAGAGTGTTATGGCCACTACAGACAAGATCGGGACCAGAACAGTACGTTTTGAAACAGATGAAGAAAACATTGCTCTGGATATTTTGGAATTTGGAATTTGTAATTTGGTTTCTTTTTGTAAATTTTCATTAAGATATAAGGGATTTTATAGCTGATTGCTTTTTATTAATAACTTGTATGAAAAAGATAGTGTTAATAATATGTTTTCTTGCATTATCTTACACAAGAGAAGAATTCGGAATTGTGAATTAGTACATGCGGCGAAGGAAGGGCATGGAAAAAGTCAAATTTAAAAATTGAAACTCTTATAATCGTGTTCTATAAGACTTATTGTTAAGTTTAAAAGACCGGCATTCTATTCTTTATGAAGTTTAAACAATTGCTTACAGTTTTTTTTGATGTAATATCAATAATGGTTTCAACATTCAACATCCTCCACATCATCTCCTCTTTCTTCCACATGATTTTCTCTCTCTTCTATATAATAATTCAATACCAACTCACTTTTGAACTTGTAGATTGGTTTTGGTTCATATGGTACGGTTGATTTAGTTTGATTTATGCATAAAAATCAATAATATGACCAATCATGAATTATTTTGAAGGTTTTATGAAGGTTTGTTAGAATGTATTATTTTTGATTTACTAGTTTAAGTAATACCCTTTGTAAAAATAAGAAATTAAATCTTAAATCAACATCAACAAAAATCTCATGTATTAAGACTTGAGTTAAATAAATTTTGGTTTACGGTTAAGTACCCCACGTCCTTTTCTATTTTGTTAGAAAATTAAAAAAAAAAATACATATCACAAGTTGTACTTATACATTTACTTGTTATTAATTTTAATAAATTATTTTAATAAAGTACCTACTTGTTGGCCATAGATTTTTTAAGAAAATTTTCACTCTAGTTATTTTTAAAAAAAAAGACTTTAGTTAGTTGATCCAAATTGTTTTTATATTTAATTATTAATTTGTTTGATAATTAAAAACTTTTATCCTATATTTTTTTAAGTTTCAATTATTAATTTAGTTTTTTTTTGGTGAAATGTTAAATTTATATTAAGAAATAAGAGATTCTATGTACATAAAGAATCAGAAATTAAGCCATGAAATAATTAGTGTCTCCTGAACTATCTTTGAAGCAATCCTCGAAGCTTTGCTCTCTCATAATAGCGAGTGGACATGATCCTATTTTTAACAGTTTTGTTGATGAGAGTGGTCATCTGAGCCACCGACTTTTGTTTCCCTGTATGCCTCCTATCATTCCTTTCCTTCCAAAAGTAGTAAATGGAAGTTTGGAACACCATTCTCAGCAATACAGAGGTGAGCCAATCAAACCTATGGTCTACTAGGCGGTGCAAAGTTGCTGTCCAGTTAGGATCAGCAGGTGTTTCCAGAAGATCACCCACTACCGCTAACCATACGGTGAAGGTGAATTGACATGCAAAAATAAATGATCATGGGTCTCATGTGGCTCTCCACAATACAAACAACCTTGTGCTGCACCCCACTTATCCATTCGTGCACCTGTTGATAGCCTATCCCGAACCGCTAGCCAAGTGATAAAATCGAAATGTGGTACTCCCTGTGCGAACCAAACCACCTTACTCCAGCTTTGTTTCTCTTTTTGCACTCGAATCTGCTCCCATGTTCTAGAGGAGAAGAAAATATCCACACACACACACACATATATATATCCAGACCTGATCTCCATATAACCCTATCCGCCACACTACCTTCTGATGGAGCTTGAATATTACTAATACTCATGATTATTTGCTGCAAGTTCAGATCACGACATCGACGAAATTGCCATTCCGACTCACCTGCAGCAGCTGCCACCATCGCAAATCGTCCAATGCCCAGCCTATGTGGCCCGCTCTCACCAGTAATGTCGATCAAGCGACCCATAGGAAGCCACTGATCTAGCCAAAATAAAGTACTGCATCCATCTCCAATTTTTGTTAATGAACTGAGAAGCTAGCGGCCTTAACTTCAGGAGCTTCCTCCACACCCAGGAGCCCTTAGTTGACTCGCTAATTTCCCAGAAGGAGCCATTACTCCATAAATTTTGGTGCACCCAGGCTACCCAAAGGGAGCCTGAGGTAGTAAACAACTTCCAAATGAGCTTCAAGGAAAATACCTTCGAAATATCTGTAAGCCATCTAAGTCCGAGGCCACCTTCATCCCGCCATACACACATCTTCCCATGACACTTTTGCCTTTCCATGACAGCTTAGGGGAGCCACTCCAAATAAAGGCTGAACACAAGCTCTGTATCTCATCAAGACAACCTTTTGGTAGACATAACGCAGAGCTCCAGAAGTTTGATGTGTTATAGATTACGGACTGGATGAGCCGCAGCCGACCCGCAAAGGACAAAGACTTACACATCCAGTTCTGAAAGCGCTGCTTGATCTTTTCCAGCAAAGGCTCGTAGTCTTTACGAGTCATAGTTTATGTAGTAAGAGGCAGCCCCAGGTATGTTTCAGGTAACGTAGATACTGAGAGGCCAAGTGCTGATGCTTCCTGCTCAATACTATTTACCTCCTACCATCCGCATAAAAGTATATTTTGCAATGGTAATACTCAGACCCAACAATCTTGAAAATTCTTCAAAAACTCGAAGTATGCCACACAATGACTGTGGAGACCCATCTGTGAATACCATAATATCATCTGCAAAGCTGAGATGAGACAGCTTGACACCTTTGCACTTCAGGTGGTAAGCAAACTCCCGCCTTTCCACTGCCTTATTCAACATTCTGGAAAGCACATTGCTGACAATAACATATAAGTATGGGGCGAGAGCACATCCTTGTCTAATACCACGAGCACTTGAGAAAAAACCCTCGAGCTCTCCATTCACTGAGACGGAGAAAGCTGCTGATTTGATGCAACACATAATCCATGTTATAAACTGGTTTGGGTAATGTATTGCACGTAATGTCACCTCAATGAAACTCCACTGAATGGAATCAAAGGCTTTGGATATATCCAGTTTAACGGCTTCTCTCGGACTAAGGAAATGGTTATGATAGTCCTTCACAATCTCCGTTGCCAGTAGAAAATTTTCCAGAAGAAGCCGGCCCTCCACAAATTCACATTGGTTCATTTCGATAGCTGAAGAAACAGTGACCCGTAGCCTCCGTGCAATGAGTTTCGAGATCACTTTGTAAACTATGTTGCAGCAAGCAATTGGTCTATATTCAGACATACGCTCGGCATTTTGAGTTTTGGGTATCAAGGCTAGGAGGGTGGCATTGATACTCTTAGGTAGGAACCCATACAGAAAAAATAATTGCACTGCAGTCACAAAGTCAGCTTCGATAGTAGGCCAAGCGGCTTTATAGAACTCCATTGGATACCCGTCTGGACCAGGGGATTTATTTGAAGGCATCGAAAACAGAACATCCTTAATCTCCTCAGCTTGAACCGGCTTAACCAGAAATGCCGCATCCTCTCTGCTGCATCTTTAGTCAATCAACCCAGACAGAACCTCCAACTCAGACCCCATAAACCCATCAGGAACATTCTGTAGAAATTTTGAAAGTGACATGCTGCTTCAATCTTGATCAGGTCCGGTTCAGTCACCACAACATCATCTGCTGTGACTAACCTTCTTATAGCATTAGTTGAGTTCCTGCTTTGTGTGGTTTTAAAGTAGAAACTCGTGTTACGATCTCCTAGCTTAAGCCACTTAATTCTTGACTTCTGATAGAAGAATTGCTCTTGAATACCTGATAAATGGTGCCATTCATTCCAAGCTTCAGCCACTGCAGTAAATATAGTAACATTCGGATTGGATAGTGCCTCACTCTTGCAGAAACAAAGGGTGTCATAAGCAGCAGTAACCCTCGCTGGAAGGTTCCCAAACCCATCTTTATTTAGGCTTTGAAGAGGCCTCTTGAGATCTTTATGTTTTGCATGGAACATTAAGAGAGCTTGTCTAGAGTGAAAAAGGCTGGGTGTCCTAGTCCAGGTTGAAGATATCACCTCCAAGAACCCTGAATGAGAGGTTAAATGATTAAAGAAATTGAAAGGCTTTTTATTCCCCTCTATTGGAGCATGAATCTCCGTGAAAATTCGAGTGTGATCAGAAACACCTCCTATGTCAAACTTGGTTACAAAATGTGAGAAAACCGACAGCCAAGCTGGATTAACTAGCGCCCTGTCCAGCTTCTTACAAATGGGATTCTCATCTTGATTATTTGACCAAGTAAATAGAGGCCCAAAAAAATCGAGGTTAGACAGCCCACACCTTCCCAATATCTCTTGAAAATCCCTGATAGAACTCCTATCACGCGCATTGACAACAGCGTGAATGTTCTGTAAGAGACAACATGACATTGAAATCACCCAACACAATCCATGAATCAGTACCCCCAGCTATCATTGTGAACTTTAACTCAAGCTCCCTCCACACTTGCTTCCTTTCAGTCGCAAAATTTGAGGCATAAATAAAAGAAGCAAGGAAAGTATCATCCGTGTGACGGTACTTTACCCAGCATGTTATCATCTGTGAACTGATTAGGACCGGAGCAACCTCCACAGCATCCGATCACACCACACAAATCCTACCCAGTCTGTGATGATCATAGTTTGTAAGACTTGACCAGCCAGGAAAGGTAGACTGGAAAATCTAAGGAAAATTTGTTGCTTGCACTCGAGTCTCTAGAAAACATCCCAAGGACAACCTTCCAGCTCGAATCCAGTGTCTAACTGCATTATGCTTGCGAGGCTTATTAAATCCCCGCATGTTCCAGGAAAACATAGACCACATTAGTGCTTCCTGGAGGAAGTTTTTTTTGTTTTGATTCTGTGCCTGAAGTAAAGCTTTGGTATTCACAATCGGCATCCTGATTTGTCTCCTACGTTGGCCCCCGAACCATTTCCCTTGCTACTCGGCCCTAACTGCTTGACCTCCTTTGCTTTATGCTTCTTTGTATCCTCAACATCTTGTACACCCATAATTTCCTCAGCAACTTCATCATCCTCACTATCCTCATCCTCTATTTCACCTTCCTCACGCAGATGCTGTAGAACAGCAAACCCATTTGAAGAGG